AAGCATACTGTAGAATTTGTGTTGTGCTGAACCCACCAGATGCTGTGGGGTAACATCTAGATCTTAGACATGTTTAAAGGGCTCATCATGGCAGGAAAGGCCAACACTTTATCTGCAAGGCCAGTACATAAGCATGTAAATGGAAGTAACAAAAACAATGATGTCTACTCAAGGTAGGAACTTTCTGTGCACTCAGCAATAAAGCAAGATAGTGACTTACCATTCACCAAGGTCACCTAAGCAATGTCAGAATGAGTATGTGCTAAGGATACCAACCAAGATTCACACTGGAGTTAACTGGGCCAGTGACCTGTATGGTTTATTTCATCTTTGAGTCACAGATTGCTGTTTTTGTCATTTTGAAACTGGGTCTCACTATGCAGCCCAGCCTGGCCTTGAACTAGGATCCTCCTGCCTCAGCTGGATCACAGGACTTGTATATATTAGACATATTAGGAGATTTTTGTCATCTTATAATATCAGGGAAATGTAAGTATGCTTTCTCACACAGGCATCATTAATATGAAATCGCTTTTGTTAGTTTCTTTGTGTATAGTCTCTCTGATCTGTCAATATTCTCAGTGGGGCCAGATGCCATTTGGAAGGATTCAGGTTAAGTATGCATTAAAAATACTTCTCAGTCACAAAGTATACTATGCATGATTTATTGTTATCTGTTCAGATAATAAAAAAATTAGTTATAATTATTCATCTCCCTTAAATTCATCCCAATTTTAGAGCCATATTTTTTAATTGTTTATACATTTATTCATATGTATATACATTGTTTGGGCCATCTCTCCCCCCTGCCCCCACCCTCCCTCTCCTCCACCCCCCTCACTTCCAGGCAGAACTGTTCTGCCCTCCTCTCCAATTTTGTTGAAGAGAAAACATAACAGATAATAAGAAAGACATAACATTTTTACTAGCTGAGATAAGGATAGCTATACAGAGAGATTCCTAGCATTGTTTCCATGCCCTGTGTATTACAACCTGAAATTGATTCCTCTCTACCAGACATCTTCACTACTTCCCGGTCACCTTCCCCTAACGGCCTCTGTCAGTTTAAGATTACTTTATTAGCTTCTCTACAGTGGGCACAGCAAATACTTCTTTGGGTTTCCTACCTTTCCCTATTCCTCCTGTACGTGTTCTCCCCTTAGTGTGTGACCCATGTCCAGTAATATTACTGCATTTGTTTTAGATCTAAAGTCCATATATGAGGGAGAACATACGATTTTTGGCCTTCTGAGCCTGGCTAATATTGCTTAAGATGATGTTATCCAGTAGAACCATATTTTTTAACAAGAAGTACATAATATATGTGTACCAAAATGTCACAATGAAACCCATTATTTTTCACAATTAATGTACCTTTTTTTTTTTTTTTTGCAGTACTGGGGTTTGAACTCAGGACTCACACCACTCCACCAGTCCTATTTTGTGTTGTTTTTTTTTCAAGATAGGGTCTCACAAATTATTTGCCTGGGCTGGCTTTAAACTGCGATACCTCTGATCTCTGCCTCCCAAGTACCTAGGATTATAGGCGTAAACCACTGGCACTCGGCCACAATGAATATATCTAAATAAAAAATTTTAAGAATCTATTAGGCATTGTCACACATACGATTTAATTTAAATCTTAAGCCAGCTCATTGGAATGTAATAATTATCTTTATTTCTCAAAATTAAGAAGCTATAAGCTGGATGCCAGTCGCTCACACCTGTAATCCTAGCTACTCAGGAGGCAGAGAGAGATCAAGAAGATCATGCTTTGAAGCCAGCCTGGGCAAACAGTTCAGAAGACCCTATCTCAAAAAAAAAAAAAAAAAACCCACACAGAAAAGGGCTGGTACAAGCATAAGGCCCTGAGTTCAAACCCAAGTACCACACACACACAAAAAAAGCTATGATTCAAAAGTAAAAATTTTAATTCTGTATAACAGAGCTAGCAGTGGTAAAAATAAATAAATAAAACCTAAAATTGGAGCCCAGTTTTTCAATATATATATATATGTATCATTAATCTATTTAATACTTAATTCTGAAAATGTGAAATATTTGTCTTTGAACAACCTCACAGAAATAATAATTCAAGATACTCAAAAAAGAGATAACAGAATGCTTCATACAGAAAGTTCACTTAGGAGATTTCACCTGCCATTATTTTTGGTACGTGTATCCACGATGAGCCACTTCTGTGCAATAATTTAGAAAATCTTTGGAAATTTATTTACCGGAGAATGAAAGAAGTTAGAATCTTTGAGTAGGTTAGGGAGTCGAAACATAACTGGTAGCTAGTGATTAGATCTTATAAATTTTTCAGATAAGAGAACTGAAGCCCAAAACATAAAAGGCAAGTTTTTTTAAAAAAAGAACAAAGTATTCTAACACTACTGAGGCATCAGCTACACGAGCTGAGCTAAGAACTAGAAATATTACCTCAGACAAAGACCATATGATGGGAATCTAAAAGTGATTTTACATAATCAACTGCTCTAATAAGGTAAAATCTAAGGCCAAGCCTTTCTTGGGCATTTATATTGAGATAGAAATGGTAAAGACAAATCAGATTGACAAAGATTATCAGAAATTAATAAAAACAGCCACACAAAGATGTATGTGAACAAAATATGTATTTAATCTTTATGTATACAAACAAGAATTATAAACCATCTACATTTCCAACACTAAACCACTAGCTAGATATGTTACACTGTATGATTCTTAAAAATGATTGTGTACAGGCTAGCAGAGTGGACCAAGTGGTAGAGCACATGCCTCACAAGCACAAGGTCCTGTGTTCAATACCCAGAATTTCCCCCCCACAAAAAAATCTAATTGCATAAATTTCTAGTAATTGACATGGAAGGATGATGTATTGCAAAAATAAAAAATTGGAAAGAGAAAGAAAGGGGGGAACTTAGTTACAAAATAATATGCTAGTATGACTAATTTTAGACATATAATTTTAACCTTCAAAACAGCCTGGAAATATATATACACCAAACTGTTGTCACTGTATCTCTAAGAAGCCTGCTTACAAATTATAATTTTATTCTTACATTTGCATTTTTAATTCTTTGCACAGAAAATGTCTTTCTTGTAGTAGGAAACATTTAAAAAATAAATCAAGAGAGTTGATGCTGGTGGTTCATGCCTGTAAATTTAGTTACTTGGGAGGCTGAGATCAGGAGGATTGAAATTCAGAGGCCAGCAGCCTAGCAAATAATTCACAAGACCCCATCTCCAAAATAACCAAAGCCAAAAAAAAATGGAGGTATAGCTTATATGATAAAACACCTGCTTTGCAAATGTGAAGTCCTGAGCTCAAACCCTAGTCCCACCAAAGAAAAAATAAAATAAAATAAAAAATAAATCAGGAGGACAAATGTTTTTATCCTGGAGGGGAAATAGAGAAGCAGGAAGGGAGAATGAGTTGGGCAGAAACCAGTAGCAGCAGGAGTCAGCAATTAACTTGATTAATTTATTTGACAAGAAGATGCTAAATGAACTCAAAATAAATAGTGAGGTCAGATTAAAACATGAATAATTTTAATCTGAAATGGAAATCTGTAAAAGAACCCTTTCTGGACAGTAGGATTAGGAACAACTAGATGGTCTTGAAGCACAGATTTAAGATTTCAGCTGATCAAGTAAAGTAAAGTTTAATTACCTCCACTTTACCTTCCTGTAGAGAACTTAAACCTCTCTGATTTTATCACACCATATAATGTCCTCTCAAATGATCAGGCAGATACATGATGTGTGCATGAATAACATGTTTCTTAGCACTTGTAAGAGGTAGATTTTAGACATAGAACATAATTCAAAACAAAATACTTTCCCTTTCAAAGTGTCACCTGTATGAATGATAGAAATCATGACTTATTATTGACTGCAAACATCTCTGGACTTTTTCCACAGATCTATGTATGCGAGGGAAAGAATTTAAAAATTGAGACTCTGGACACCATCAAAAAGAGGAAAAATTAGGCAATCTTCATATTTTACTCTCATAAGTTATAAATGCCAACTGATAAAGTGAAAACAATTGGTTACAGAAAAGACTAAAAAGTATTTGTTATCATTTAGATCTGGAAAGTCCCCCAAAGGCTCATTCATTAAAGACTTGGTCTCCAGAGCAGCAGTGTTGACAGGTGATTGAATCATGTGGGCTCTAAACTCATGAATGGTTTATAATCAAATGGACTGTTGGGAGGTGGTGGGAACTGTAGCAGGTAGGGCCTAGTTCAAAGAACGAGGTCACTGGGGGCATTACCTAGAACAGTATGTCTTGTCTCCAGTCCCCCTCCTCCCTTACTTCCTGGCTGTCAGGAAGTGACTGGTTTTGCTCCACCATGCTCTTCCCACCACAATGTTCTCTTCAGTACAAGCCCACAGCAATGGGGCCAAGCAACAAGAAACTGAAAGCATGAGCCAGAATAAAACTTCCCTCATTTAAATTGTTTTCCTCTGGTATTTTGTCATAGTGACTGAAAGCTGACTAACACAATATTTTAAAAGATTCCCTTCTCAAACTATAAACTTTAGAGCAATGGAAAGGAGTTTTAGTTAAGGTATGGGTCAGTACTTTGGCATATTTTTAGTTGGGAAAATGAAACTGGATAAATAAAAAGGAATAAAAAATTTCACCTAATAAAAAGAAATAGAAGGGTTTTTTTTCCCAAGAAAAATTTATTTCTCTTTTTTTTAATTGTTGTGCTGGGGGTACATTGTGGCATTTACAAAAGTTTGTATATCATATTTGAATTCATTATCTCCATTCTCCTTTATCCCCTCTTTCCCCAAGAAATAGAATTTTATAACTATAAGAAGCTTAATTTTTTATCCACTCATATCCCTTCATTATACAGAAAAAGTATGTCTCAATAGGATTGTAAGTGTCCCAAGGCCACACACAGATGCCCTTAGGCACACCCAATAATATGTTGTCAATAGATATTCATAAAGTTACTTAACTGGTTTTCCTTTTCTTCAGGGAGTCCCTCCACCACTTGGCAATGACCATGGGAAACTGGAGCATAGTGACTGAATTCATCCTGATAAGCTGCCCAGCTCTCTTAGAGATTCGAATATTCCTCTTTGTGCTTCTCTTGCTAACTTACACCTTAACAGCAGTAGGAAACATCATCATCATCTCCCTAACATGGACTGACCCTCACCTGCAAATTCCGATGTACTTTTTCCTCAGTAACTTGTCCTTTCTGGATATGCTATACACAACTGTTGTTACCCCAAAATTGCTAGCCTGCCTCCTCAGAGAGAAGAAGACCATATCCTTTGCTGGCTGCATCACCCAAACATATTTCTACTTCTTTCTGGGGACAGTGGAGTTTATTCTGTTGGCCGTCATGTCCTTTGACCGCTATGTGGCCATCTGTAACCCACTGCACTATACCATCATCATGAACAACAGGGTCTGCCTCCTGCTGGTTCTGGGCTGCTGGGTGGGGGCCTTCCTGTCAGTGCTGGTACCAGTTATTATAGTGACAAGGATACCTTACTGTAGGAAAGAAATTAATCATTTTTTCTGTGACATTGCCCCTCTTCTCCACGTGGCCTGTATAGATACTCATTTCATTGAGAAGTTAACCTTTATCCTCTCTGCCCTTGTCATCCTGAGCTCCCTGGCATTCACTACTGGATCCTATGGCTACATCATTTCTACCATCCTGCGCATCCCCTCAGCCCAAGGCCGTCAAAAAGCCTTTTCTACCTGTGCTTCTCACATCACCGTTGTCTCCATTGCTTATGGGAGCAACATCTTTATGTATGTGAGACCCAATCAGAACTTCTCACTGGATTTTGATAAGATAGCTGCTGTCCTCATCACAGTAGTGACCCCTCTTCTGAACCCTTTTATATATAGCTTAAGGAATGAGAAGGTAAAGGAAGTGTTGAAAGACACAATGAACAAAATCATATCCTTGATACTAAAAAAAAACTTAATATAGTATTTAACATATTTCTCATCTTCAACGGGCTCATTCTGCATGACTATAGTGGCACACTAGAGAACTGAGACTTTGTCAAAAGCTAAGCAATAACCATGCAAAACTGAAAGAAAATTCTGCTCATGTCTTGAAGGAAGGGAATCAATCCATGTATTATCTTGTACATAAATAGCTTTTAACCATGAAGGGTACCAAACAACAATTTACAGGTCTTCAATTCTAATTCTGGCAAAGCCCAAATATTTTCCTGAAAACTTTATCATATCACAACTTATCTGAGCCTCAATATGTCTATCTCTGAATGAAATAATAGATAATATAATACCCCTTCTTGTAGTGAGACAAGTAATGTTAGAGAATTTTAGTTCCTTATTAGTCTTTCTTGACTATTTCAAGAGACTTGGTTTTACCCTCTATTCACCAAGTCAAATAAAAATGTGATAAGTAAGGTTTAAAAAACAAGGCATGACCATGACTCAGAATGGTATCAAGTCAGTCTCTATACTGGGTGAAAAGGAATAAAAGAGTGCAAATTAGTAGTGGATCTACTGATTGCAGATCCCTGTAGAAACCTCTAATCATAAGTTTTCAGTTGGATAATCATGTGAAGCATGGGAAGGAGGAGTTACATAGTTATAATTTGGGGGATCATTAAATATGCTAATAATTAAAGCCATAAAAGTGACTTAGATCACCAAGGAAGATAATAGAGATAACCCACAAATTAGTTCAAAGGTATACAATAAAAGAGAAGAAAAACCAAGACAATATGATGTCATGAAACAGGGTAAGAGACAAGGGGGAATGGTTCAATGGTTTAAGCAGCACTATAGAGACCTTAAAGTATCTGTTGCCCCTATGAGTTTCTGTTGCATTTAGCAGCAAAGGAACCCAAATAACTTTCATAACTATTTTAATAGACCTTGGAAGGTAAAATCCAAAATGGAATATTGTATAGATAAAAGGTAAAATCCAAAATGGAATATTGTATAGATAAAAGGGAGTAGAGAATATAAATATACTTATACATAATAAATATATTTCAAGCATGTTGTCTAGGAATATATGCAGTATTGTCATGGTAAGTAAACAGGTTAAAGAAGACATGTTGCTTTATTTAAATATTGGTTGGAGCAGCACAAGAGTGGGGATTGGCTGAGGCTGTCAGAGAACAGGGAATGGTCAATGTGATAGGCTTCCTGGAGCAATCAAAAGTGGTGACCTCTAGAGCATTAGTGAAAATGACACTTGTTAGCACAAATTTGTAGTCAAGACTAAATAGAAATGGATAAATCCAGACATGGAACAGTGCCAGGTAACAACAGGGTGCACAATGTCACTGTCCCTTTTGATAGATGATCCAAAGTCAATCTTTTAAAATTTTTTTTCATTATTGTACTGAGGGCTCAATGTGACATTTACAAAGTTCTTATATCATAGCAAAATCAATCTTAAAAAGATACCAAGATACTCTTGGTATCTTAACTTCCTGTAGAAAATGATCAAAGAATAGAACAACTCTAATAACGCAGACAGAGTAGAGCAAAATAATTAAGCCCATCACTAAGTAACTCATACATTCACAAGCCAAAGGCAATTTATTCCTTCATTTATCCATTTACCAATGTTTGTCTGAGTACCTATTCTGTACCAATGAACTCTGCTCATAGGAGAGACCTACAATAAGTAAGATGTAAGGAGTAACTCTGTGAAAAGTTATAAGGTGACAAATGTTATGGAGAAAAATTAAGCACAGAGGGGAATAGGGAGTTTTGAGGATGAGTTTCAATTTTAAATAAGGTGTTTAAGAAAGTCTTCTCTCCTGCTGTCAGTGGCTCATACCTGTAATCCTAGCTGTTTGGGAGGCTGAGATTGGGAGGATGGTGGTTTGAGACCAGCCCAGGCAAACAGTTCTCCAGACACTATCTCCAAAAGATGACCACAGCAAAAAAGGACTAAAGGTATGGTTTAAGTGGTAGAGTACCTGTTTAGCAAGTGTGAAGCTCTGAGTTCAAACCCCAATCCCACCAAGAAAGGAAAAGAGAAAAGTCTTCTCTGAGAAGGTAATCATAGAATAAAGATTTAAAAGGGATGAGTGTATGAGCCACATGGATCTGGAAAAAAAAAGAGTACATGCAAGTAGGATAAAGACTCCATACTGTGTAAGAGTCAGGAGCTCTTGTGTTATAAGAAGTGGCCACTCAAGGCAGAAATCATCTGAGAGCTGCTGCCAGATTCCAAGAATTCTGTGAGTATCGGTTTGGGGAGTCAAGTTCATTAGCACAAAGCGCCAGACCATAAAACAGAGCCATCAGAAGACTACACTAGTCCCCACTGCTGAGGAATTGGTCATCAAACACAGCTACATGTAAGCAATAATGAAACATAAACAGTATGCAAGAAAATATATCTTTAAGTAAAATCATACAAGATGTACTCACAGTATCACTTTGGGTTCTCTGAATGAACGCCTTTCATAACAAGTTTGAAGTTAAAGAGTTTCGTTTATGTTCTTTTAAACATGACACATAGAAAACAGAAGACAAATCCAGATGACTTTACTGGTTGCTACAGTGGTTCTCAAAAATCTAGCTCCTAGGACAGCAGTTTTAACCTCATATGAGGGACATGTGAGAAAATTCTCAAGCTCCACTCCAGACCTCCTACTTCTTGAACCAGTGGAGGTAAAGCCCAGCAGAACAGGTTTTGATAAGCCCTCTTGGAGAGGCAAAAGTTTGAGAACCACAGCTTCAGGAGAGCCAGGTAAGCATCAGCACCAAGAAACCTGCATCGTTGTTAGGGCTCAGGAACAGCCTTGACTAAATATTGCCAGGAAATCTGTCTTAAAATACACTTGATACCTGATTTTTTTTTTTTTTTTTTTTTTTGGTGATACTGGAGTTTGAACTCAGGGCTTACACCTTGAGCCACTCCACCAGCCCTTTTTTGTGATGGAGATAGGATCTTGCAAATTGTTTGCCTGGGCTGGCTTCAAACGACAATTCTGCTGATCTCTGCCTCCCGAGTAGCTAGAAAACAGGTGCAAGCCACCACTATCTCGCTATATCTGATTTTTTTAAACCATGTAACAATATTATTACCAAATCATAATTATTGTGATTATTATTTATTATAGGTACTTGATTACATCTGTTAATATATTGGTATAAAATAAATTTATTAATTTATTAGTTATAAAAACTGCATAGTGTTAGCACTCAAGAACCTGAGGGAGGAGAATTGCAAGTTTCAGGCCAACCAGAGACATATAGCAAGACCCTGTCTTTAAAAAAAATTGAGTTTGTTGTTCCTGTCTCTGGAGAAGTTCGTACCTGGAGTAGTAGAGATAGCAACCACAGTTATCTTATTTCTTATGATACTTGAGTCTCTGGCAAGGCAGTTGTTAAGAGGCTAGATATGTAGGTCTTTTTCTCAATCACGTAAGTGTTTTGTGATCTAAGTCTCTCTGTTTTTTTCTGACTCTTAAAAAAGAAAGGGAGGAAAAAACTTTAGCTTAACTATGTGGTTTAATTATCTTTCCTTTAGAACTCATTGGTTTTTCATAAAAAATATGTGCTGAGTATACTTACTGAAGGCATTTAATCTCTCAGTATTTCAGCTCCCTTGTCATAAAATTAATTTTCTAGTAACTTCTATGTTGCAGGGATAACGTAGGATGGCTTTGAAAACACTTATGTCAAAGTATCATACGGAAACACAGAATTGATATTGTCTGTCCTCGGGACTCGGGTAAGAGTCTACAGAGGTACTGGAGATACAAATATAAGCAGGACACGATGGCCACTCCTAAGTAGTTAATGTTTTAGCTAGAAAGTAGATGACATAAAAAAAATGTATGAATGATATGTTTTAAAAATTACATTTCTGGTTTTGACCAAGATAGAGTAACAGAGATTTTATTTTTAGCAACTAGAAAATTTTAAGCAAAACTAAGAAAATTTTAAGCAACTATAAAATTGCAAAAATACATATAGCAAACTTTTTTCAGATATGACATAGCAGACAATGCAAGATTGTAATAGAAATGGAAAAATAGGCAAGGTGCCTACCACTACCTGAATGCAGCTTTTTAGGCTACAGCACAGGGTGGAATATGGAAACAGAGGCTGAATTAGAAGACAGAAATCAGAGTTTTGGGAGGCCAGAAATTAGAGTTCTGGAGATGGGCAGAAGGATCTTCTGGAGACTGGCTGAATAAAACTAACCATGCACGAGAAGAAATCACCTAAGACATAAAAGGACCCGCAAGTTAAATTATACGCAGTGTTCACATAGGTATGGAAACAGTTGTGTTCCTACCAGCCAGAGGGGAAAAGCCTTTTAATATGTAGGGCATTAGGTGGAGTAATGGGGATAAATTATCCCTTGAACAAAGGCAGAACTAGCTCTTTCTTAAAAGACTCTTCAAGAATTTAAAAGGCCATGGCAACTGTAATTTTTAGAAAAACGGGACTCATGTTGAGGCCTCCAGCAGGCGTGTGCCCCTTTTGGAGACCAGGACTCCAATTCTCCAAAGCCTAGGGTTGCAAGGCTAAGAAGAAAATTTCCCAGAGACGGGGTATGAATTCCCATGTTGGGAGTGATGATAATCCACTGCTCCTGATTCCATGCCTGGATTCCCAGACACATGTATTTTTCCATATGTGTTTGCCATATCCCCTAAGGTGCTTGCTAGGATATGAAACCCTTTGTCCTGAGAAAGTGTCAAAGTCAGTAAGTTTTTGATTAAACACCCTAAAAATCTAATACTAAGGGTACTTCCCTGGCTCCTGCTGGTACACAAGTACTTACAATTCTTTTGGGGATAGCACCACATAAAGGATATGCATAAAGGAATGCATATCCTGCATTCCTGAAGAGTGGCATACCATTCTTTCAATGTATTTCCTCCAAGCTGTCTCTTCATCTGGTCATGTTCTATGGCGATGGTTGCTTTATGATGGTACTGAGGCAGCCTACTGACAGTGAGAAGTTGAAAG